ATATATTATTATAAAAAGGTGTATTATTATTATTATTTCTTGAACCGTTTATAATTCTCCCATCTTAGTGGGGTTCATAAAAAGCACGGGCCGAAGCCAAGTGCGGTTAATTAAATTGAATGTTATATCTATGTGTTTAAAAATTTTCGGGTTAGGCGACAAGTGTTTAAAATTACTGCCTTCTGAAGAAGGAGGTATGTTGACGGGCTAATATTTAACTCTTTAAGACTATTATGGAGAGTTTTTGGGATAACCCCCGTGGAGGATAAAATTATTGGAACAGTTTTGGTATGGGTAATCTTCCACTGAGTTTTTATTTCTATGGATAAGTCTGTATATTTTGCTATTTTTTCGGAGTGTGTGGTAGTGAGATTATGAGTGTTGCAAATGGCTATATCTATTATGTATACTAACTTTTTTTGTTTATCTAGCATGGTTATGTCAGGCCTATTGTTGTAGATTGTTTTATCTGTGATAATGGTTCTGTCCCAATATAATTTAAAATGTTCGTTTTCTAATACTGCTTGTGGCTTATATTTGTAGTAGGGTACTTTATCGGTGATCAATTTAGTTTGTATGGCTAGGGATTGGTGAATTATTGCGGCAACTTGGTCATGGCGGTGTTTGTAATCAGTCTGGGCTATGGCTCGGCATGCACCTGTGATATGTTGGATAGTTTCTGAGGCACCGTGACATCGTCTACAGGAGTCATTATAGTTGGGTCTACGGATAATGAATTTTTGATAGTTGGCTGTGTCGATAACCTGGTCTTGAATGGCAATCATAAATCCCTCCGTTTCAGGGAAGAGTTCACCTCGCCGCAGCCACGCGTTCGATGCTTTCATATCGACATGAGGTTGCTGCAGGTCGAGGCGATGTCTCCCGTGGAGAGATTTATGTGCCCAAACTGCTATTTTATCTGATTTGCTAGTTATGGATTCATTACGTTGAGGGTCAGTAGAATTTAAATTAAGTGGAGTATATTTTCTATCTATCTGGGAAATTGCTTTGTGAAAAAGACTATTTTGAGATTTGTACATGAAGAATTTTCTTAAATTAACAATCTGCTGATTATGTAAATTTGTGATGTCTATGAGGCCTCGCCCTCCCTCATCTCGCGGTAATGTGAGTCTTTGCACACAAGATCTTGGGTGGTGTTTTCTATTCGTGGTCAAAGATGTATTTATTAGCCGCTGTAACTTAGTGAGATCGGTTTTTGACCAGTTTATGATTCCGAAAGAATAGGTGAGTACGGGAATGGCGAAGGAGTTGATGGACTTAATTAAATTACGGGATGTTAACTGCGATCTTATCAACATGTTAAGCCTGTGTTTGTATTTAGCGACTATTTTATTCTTAGTGCATTTCTGATCAATTTGATAAGTTTGTTCAAAGCCTAAATATTTGTATGTACAATTTTGTGTCATCGGTTCAATGGACTGTCCTGAATCTAGTATGTATGGGTTATGTTCAATATGCTGCCCTTTACAAAGGGTAAATGTTTTACATTTGTCGATGCCAAAGGTCATGCGTATGTCATCCGAGAAAGTTTGTGTAAGATCTGCAAGAGTGTGGAGTCCAGGTGTACTATTGCTGTACAGTTTGATGTCATCCATGAACATTAGATGAGTTAATTTGAGATCTGTGGAGTCATCATATTGTATTGTGAGGCCAGTTGTAGAAGAGTTTAGAAGGTTAGACAGGGGATTTAAAGCAAGGCAGAACCAAAGAGGGCTTAGAGCATCCCCCTGGAAAATTCCTCGTCTAATGGATATAGGGTCTGTTTCTATTAATTTTCCTACCTTTATTTTCGTGTTCCAATGTTTCATGGATTCTGTCAAGAATTGTATGATAGACGGATGGATTTTATAATGGTGTAATATGTAGACTAACCAACTGTGTGGGACTGAGTCAAACGCCTTCTGATAGTCGACGTACATAGTGCAGATATCGGTTTTTAATTTAACGTTGTGCTTCATAGCTATGGAATCTATTATCAATTGTTCTTTACACCCCTGGCTATATTTACGACATCCTTTTTGTTCCTCCGATAGAATGTTATTATGTGTAATGTGTTTATATATTATTTCTGAGATGCAACCGGTAATTAATTTGTATATAGTTTGTAGACAAGTTATAGGTCTATATTTAGCTGGGTTAGCGTAGTCGGAGTCTTTGGGGATCATGTAAGTTAAACCTTGTGTAATGAATTTTGGTATTGACTGAGGGTTTTTGATAAAATTATTAATATGATTGTAGAGTGATGGGTGTAAATAAGTAATTTTTTTGTAAAAGTAGTTATGAATTTTGTCAGTACCTGGGGCCTTCCAGTTATGCGCTTTCGTAATAACGCTGACAAACACTTCTAATGGGATTGCATCAAATAACATAACTGGTAAATTTTCTAGTTTTTGTTTGTCATCGTGTATCCACGTAGCGGCATGGTTGTGTTCTGATGCATTTGACCAAATATTGGACCAGTAAGTATAAAACTGTTCAGAGTTTGGACTAAGATTATTTGACGTCTGTTGTCGGCTTTGTGTGTTTGTTGTATCAGTAGCTAGGGTTCTATAAAACTGCCTTTCACTATTAGTGAATTGGGAGTTTTGATTTTTACGCTGAGTACACTCATAACTAGTATCTACGGCGTCGGCTTGTTACTGCTGTGAGCTTTTGTTTTAAGCTATCCATAAACTGTTCGTTTGTTGTGTTTAGTTCCTCATAGCTAGAGTGTTTACTGTATTTATGTTTTATTCTTTCTATATGTGTGATTAAGTTTAGATTTCTATTTCCATTAATGTATTGTGTCATTCTGCCTATCTCTTTACGAATAATGTGTATCTTTCTATCTAGCCGCTTCAGCCAGTTTGGTCTCTTGTCTACTGGCGAGTTTTGCTGTGGTGTTGAAGGTACTGCTTGGTTGTGTTCTTTAATTTTGGACCCGTTACAGAGAGCAGCTGTGTGGGCAGCACAATATACGAGAGCGTGTATTTTTAAGAAGTCATCTTCGACTGACCCATACTTGGGTAACACTGTGTTATTTAAGTAGGCAATTATATAAGCTAGCTTTTTTGAGGTTTTCTGCTTTGGGATATAAGGTCGTTTTGTAGGATCGGTGTGTAAATATTTATTGTACGTATCTTCGAAAATGTTTGTAATTTTAATATCAAGAGTTTCGTCAGTAAAAACTGTATTTGTTGTTTCGTCCTGCAATACAGCGCTACCTACTTGCGTGTTATCTTGAATATGTGGGTTTGCTTCATTTAGTTCGCTATTAGATTGTGGGTTATTGGGGTTTATAATTGTATATGTTTGTGGTGAATCGTTTTGTGTATTTTCTATTGCTTGTATGTTCAGATTGTCTCTTATTTCTCGCTTTATTTCTTCTAACCTATCATCGGAGATGAGTCTATTGTGAATAATCACCCTGCGTTGGTCAGCAATGCGTTGTTCAGATACATGTGCAATACTAGGAAACTTCTGTGTTATAATAGTGTGCAGTGGTTTACGATAAGCGGATCTATTGGTTTCTATATCTGTTATTCTAAAATATTCCCTTATAATTGCTTCATTTATGTCATCAGTCCATCTTAAACGATTATTTGAAGTTCCGGTGTTGCGTGCGTGTCTTTCGGCTATGGGAGGCTGTGAAAAAGCTATTGTGTCTTGAATTATACTATTGCTTTGGAGGTCTGAACGGACCTCATTTTTTATAGACTCTAATATGTCTTCCGGAAGTAACTTATTTCTTAAAATTGCCCTTTTCTGATCTCCTAGCCTTTGTTTAGAAACTTCTATTTGTGGAAATTTTTCTGTGAATTTGGAATGTAGTGGATCTAAATAACCTCGGACTTTAGTATCTAAATATGTAACATAAAGGTAGGTGCGCCAGATGAACTCGTTCATTTCTCTTGTCCATCTCAATCGCGCGCGAACTTGGCCAGTGGTGGGTGCAAGATTGTTGGCTTCTGCCTCCTGCACAACATCCACGGTTGCAGAGTTGATAGATGTAGGTGAAGGAATAGAGGAAGAGTCAGTATTGTAGTTTAGACAGGAGAGGGGAGAAGAAGGAAGTGAGGGAAATAGGGAAGTTGAGGATGATGGTCTGCTTGTGATTTGTTCGGGTGACCCGGTAGGAGCCCGCTGACTCAACTCACTACCACCGATGGTTCGTATGCTGAAACGCCCAGCATCGGCTCCAGGCGTGCCCCGGCGATCGCCCCCGGGAAGCGGTCCTATACGTAATCTTTTCTTTGTTCTCGTCTCCATTTCGTCGATGGGTTACTATTGCCACGTTAGCCGCCCAGTAATATTAATTATGCGTTGCCCGCCCCCCACGTGATCTGATGTTCGATCGGGCCGTGTGGTTAGATTTGAGGGGGCTTATTATTATTATTATTAATTTATTCATGTACACCACATAAACAATACAAAGTAGAAAAAAAATATACATATAACAAAACAGAGGTACATAGGTACTGCATATCCCTTATGGGATTTCTTCCTGCAGCCCTGCGAGAGGAGAAATAAATACATCATATGAGACAGTGTGTAACAATAAAAAAAAACAAACAAGAAGAAGATTATATATTATTTATTTAGGTATTTCATATCTATTCCTTTATCATATCAGTGATTTTAATTAAAAATTATTGTATGTCAATGTCACTATCTATGTCAACGTCAAAACTCAAGTCTCAACTGTTATCAATTATGACTGATACCGATTGACGTGTTGTTTAACTATTACAAATTTTTGTGAAAATGTGTAATTATTTACAACTAAAATATTAAACTTTATTAGCCTGTAATATAGAGTGAATTTTGGGTATCTTACTAGTATAAAATAAAAAAATAATGGAACTATGTCTGGTTTTAGTTGTAAGATCTGCCTGGTATTAGTGGTTTTATAAACACTAAAATCACGAAAATTTTCGGCTATTTAGAAAATAATTGTTGCAACAATTTTTTTGTAGTTTCTTAATGACGTATTTTAGACAATGGATATATTCAAAACCCCGTCTGTTCAGTCTTTATTAGACTCTGACTTAGAATCAGTAGAGAGTCTTCAGTATTTGGATATTGAGGAGGTAATGTTTATTAATTTAAAAATGCATATAATGTTATGATTTTATCATTAAGAATATCATTACTATACCAGATTTTGTATTTAATAAAGTAAAAATTAAGTGATGGGTACGCCCCTTTTTATGTGTTTCTATCATTACCTATATTGTGCTGTATTTTTATGTGGGTGACAATTTTACAACTTGTACCAGCAACCAGAACAACAGTATTGTACTTGAAATGAACTATGTTAAGTGTGTGTTATATCAAAATGTCAATAAAATAACATGAAATAAAAAAATAATTTCAGCTAGATGAGATTGAATATGCCTTGCCCGCGAGTGAGGCTCCTACACTAGCTGAAGTATTATCCACGGAGGAGGAAGAAGTTCAAAGTAATGTCACTAAATATATTGAAGATCCGGCTGCTTGTTCAGCTTTACAAGTGGAATTTTTGCAGGGTATATCACAGCAGCTCTTACAAGCACAAGTATGTTATTTTATACTATTATATAAGCGGAAGTGTTTATTTTTTTGTTTGTTTGTTTAAACACGCTAATCTCCGTAGCTACAAGTCTGATTTGAATAATTCTTTTTGTGTTGGATAATGCGTTTATCAAGGATGGCTATAGGCTATAAAACATCACGGTACAACCAATAGGAGCTGAGTGAGTGTGAAACCGCGCGGAAATAGCTAATAATTTATATATATGTGTTATAATAAACATTATACATTTTATTTAATTCAATAGCTAAGGTTTTAGAAGTATTTCTGAAAAGATAATGTTAAATTAAAATTGTGTTATTTTAGTATACATTAAATTCAGTCATAATAAATAGAATTTTCGATATGAAAAAAAAACTATTGTTCAGTATAAATAAAGGATCGGGCATAAGATTTACCATAGAAGCTAAAAAAGCTGAAGATTTGGGCAGCCAAATTGGCCAGGTAGGTATGTGACATAGTGATTGACGTAACCCCATTGCATTTCCTGTTTCATGTTTTAGGATCGGTCATCAGCGGGTGCCGCAACTGCATTAAGTGTGGGAAATGATTCGAAATTGACTGTAGGAACAGCACACGGCCATCTACTTTCATTTCATGAACAAACTTTAAGATGGGTCTGTGATTTAAACACTGACAGAGGAGCAGTCTCATGTCTGGCATATAATCAAGATTGCACACGACTTCTGGCAGGCTATGCGAGAGGGCTTATATGTCAATACGAAAGTGTTCAAGGCACTATACTCCGACGAGTCACTTTGGGAGGGGAATTGTGGGGAACGTTACGTGTCACGTGGGCAGGCCCGTCTGGACTGGCCCTCGACACTGGTGGATCTGTTTGGTTGATTAAATTCTCGCGACCTTTAGGAGTGCGATCCGCACGTTCTTCATGTTTGTTTTCTGGAGCTCGAGGAGAGGTTGTAGCAATGGCGCCGAAAGATGCTCGCATTTTAGCACTTGCAACGCTATCGCGAGTTATAATAGTGGCAGGAGGCCGGGCTGCGGGATTACGTCTAACTGGCCCACCGGATACTCTCCCTGTTCTAGAGTGGAGCGAAACAGACGAGCGGGTGTTAGTTTGTGGACGTTCTAAAACACTACAATGGCTGTCACTGACCATCACCGGATCATCTATATGTTTGAAACCAATCCAGAAAGTCGAACTGACGACAACTCCATTATGGCTTGGCTGGTTAGGAGGTAATCTCGCTATTTTCGACTCAGATGAGAATTTAAGGTTGTGGGGGGATGATTATGATAAACCTTTGGATCTTTCACATATGGAACCAGTTTACGCATCATCCTTTTTCAAGGTATGTATGTTAGGAGACTAGTCCAGTGCAAGTCGTGAAATCCAATGTATTTCAAAGATTAATAATTACACTATCAGCCCAACACGGCAAAATTACAATAGAGTAATGGAGCTTCGGAAAAATAGGACTAAAGTGATTAATAACTTAGAAGAGCAGCAATGCAAATAGAAAACTTTAGTCTGCATTAAGTTGCGATCAAAAATCCTTTAGACAGTATTATTACAAATTAAGATATTAGAAAGTTTTTACTTATATAGGTGTATTGATCAATTTAAAACTTACTGTAATAATGTGATATTTTTTCAGGGCCACTGGACAGACGGGCGTGTGTCTCGTGCGATGTGTACGGCGGGGGTGAGCGCTCTCGGCGGCGCGTGCGTGTCCGCCGGCGCGCTATCCTTATTAGGGCGGCGCGGCATCGTCCGAGTACGGCCGAGACACTTACTTACAAGGGCGCAAGCATTTTTGGCTTCTGGGCGACACCTAAACGCATTACGTCTTCTTTGTTCTGCACAGGCATCAGAAGCAAAATCCGTAGCTTACCAATTTATAGACAACATTTCTGAAAGACCCTACATCTTGACTAACAAGCAAGTTGCTGATCAAACTGTGAAGTTATGCTTGAAATATAATTTAAGGTAAATGTTACTGAAACTAATACTGTATAATTTAATTTTATGTGAGAAACCTCAGTCTACCATTTTATTTCTATTTTAGAGATGAATTGTGGTCTCGTTTATGGGAGCAGTGTTCAGATGAAAAAGCATTTGTTGAATCAATAGCTGAGGCAGCAGCTCGCGGAGAATTATCAACCGTGGAGCTATCACCCTCACCAGATTCTACTCAGGTTCTGTGTACCTATATACCAAATGTCTTGAGCCATCAAAATATAATTCATCAAAACATACATCTGAGATCAGCCTCAGATAATCTACTGATAGTTTATGGACCTCCTTTACATGTGAGGATGGTTTACTATAGCCTCCAAGTTGCAAGCCGAATGTAATAACACTGTATTTATTTTATCAGGCACTTATTGAAAAGCTGTCGGAGTTTGAACCAGATCTTGTAGAGCGCGTTATAGCGTCGTTGCCCCTTACGTCCATTGACCCGCACCGGGCGAGTGTCCTCACAAGAGAGAAAGGCCTTTGGCGGGCGGTCGGTGCAATCGCAGCAGCACTGGGTAACACTAATTATTGTATTCTGTGAAATTGTTTCATCAGCTAATAAGAGTTCAATATTTTTAATACATAATAACTACATATTCAATTTTCAATGACTGAGTAAAAACATATTTTCTCGTTAAATCTCTACAAATTTCGGTACGGTCGAGTTTGTATAGCTCCCATAAATATTTGAGTACATTCACTAGACCAATTACATATAAAATAAAAAATAGTAAGTAACAATTTACTTAAATTTGTTTTTAAAATATTTTTTATTGGAACACTGCGGTGATATTCATATTTTTTTATGTAAGTTACTTCTTTTCCATATTATTCTGAAAAAGTCATATGAATATTCATAATAAGACATTATTAACATTATTTTTATTGGCGATGCAAAGATTCTAACTAGCGGCTCTAGTGTCAAAATTGTAAAGCTGTCTAAGAACGACAATGGCAGTTTTCGTAATTAATTTATTACGTATTAATTTACGTCACAGAAAAATGTATTTAATAAATATAAATCAGATTTATGTGGTTTCTTGTATATAAATATTTAAGTAAATTGAAAAATTAATCAAATGTTTAACTAATTATTAAATTAATATTTAACTTCATTACACTCAAATTCAATCATCATTATACTTGTTCATTTACAATATATTTATCTGATGCTTGGCCACCATAAGTGCACTTATTTCGGTGATTAGGCCAGAAGGAGTTATTCCAATACTTCGCTGTATTGTGTTTTTTTTATATTGATAGTACATACGTCAATATCCTACATTTTAAAACGTGTACATTTTTCAATCACAGTCTCTTTACAGTGTAATATTATTCTTGTATTTTATATTTTTGGAACGAATTAGGTAAGTATCATTTCGGTATCAGGCCAAGGAATAACAACTTTGAGTACTCTAGTCAGCATGGGGTATATATTATTAAAATAATTAGAACAAGTCTGCCTATTTATACTAAACAAAAATGGCTCTAAATACTATAATTTTGTTTAACTTTTACCATTGTCAAAATAACTTCTTTGTCTCTGTCTTTCACAGATAACAGTTTCTTGTTTGTTAGAGTATTTTTAAAGCCAAACCACTAAGACAAGTCACCAATAATTCTATAAAAGTTCAATTGAATGAATATCTGTAAAAGTAAATAAATCACTGCTCTTTTCTCTTTCCATACAGGAAGAAAATTTATTTGATTCATAATTTTGTCTTTTGGAAATAAATGAAAACTTATTCCCGAATTACATTGAAGTACGCAATAATATTTTGTGTTTCTGCTTTTATTAAAAACAGGTTTCTATAAGTAATCGTGATCCATTTGATTATGTTTAAACTCATTAATCTCAACTCGAAAGCAAAGTGTCGTTCTTAGACAACTTCTAAATTTCGCCACTAGAGGCGCGTGGATAATCTTTGCATCGCCAATAAAACCAATTTAGTAAATATTATTGCACCCTTTCCACAAAAAATATAATTAAATCGATTCAATAATTTCAAAGTAACTGTCCAAAATCATAATAGAAAATTCTTATTTTAGTTGGTTAGAATAAATAATAGATTACAGGGAATGTACTTATACATTCAATATATTTATTTCACAGGTGAGATTTTTTTGCAATTTTCCCCTCTTTAAAGACTCATGAGTGCAATATTCAAAAATAAATTGACAACACTGGTAAAATATGGCAATTATACTCGGAATTTTAATTCGATTCCAGATTGGACAATTTCAGTGTTGCAACGTTATGACAAGCACTAAATAGTGACGTTGCGAAATTATTCGATATGGAAATGCAATAGTTCTGGATCGATTCTTCTCGTTTATAATTTTACTCTCGTAAACTAAGTATATCAGGAAATTAAATATTTCTGAACCGATAATTTAGTTTTGACGATTAATTAACGATCTGAGACTTTTCTTTTCAAATTGTGTGTGAAATAAATAAAAAAAATGTAATCATGAAGGAACATGACAAATAAAACGGATAGATGTATTATGGTAATAAGTTATTTTATAAATTGTCGCCGTCATCGCTATCGCTATCCTGTTACTTTCTGTAACATTTATTATAAAACACACACACTGATTGTTTATCGATTGTTGTGTGCATCACTATACTATTATATGTGGTATCATTATTTCACAAAATGACAGTAGCTATTGTCAAATCTGGAATCTAATAAAAATTCTGACTATAGTTCTGTCAAAAACATAAATTAAATAATTTAATTATTTTAATTACTTAACGACGTATAAGCGGTCTGTTTATTATTTTTCAAACCACCTTTTTAATTTCGACACAATTTTATGGAGCATTCTATTTTTGCTGTGTACTTGTTTACGGATTTATTTAGTAACGTGCATGACACGTAAATTACAGTGAACACTTTACTGCAAATTTTTTAAAACGTTTATAATGAACTGACACACCATCTAGATATTATATAATCAAAGGTTGTGAGCATGTAAGTTAAAATGTGCAGGTAATGTAATAGCGGTGGTGTTCGCAGGCGGGGGTGGCGGGGCCATGCGGAGCCTGGCCACGCACGTGGGCGACTCGTGCGGCGGACGGAGCGCGGGCGCGTGCGGCGGGCGGTGCGCGGGCGCGGCGCTGGTGGTGGCGGCGGCGGACGCGCTGGCGGGGCGCGGCGCGGCGGGCCGGCCGCTGCCGGCGCACGCGCGCCCGTCCGCGCGACACGACGCACTGCACGCGCTGCTGGCTTGTGATGAGGTATTCACGGTTCCATCCGCGTGTGCTGTAGTCTCTCTTCTTACTTGTGCGGATGTGTATACATTTTATATTTTCTCTCCGTGTGGCCTCGCCGTGGTGCGCCCGACGTGTGTCGGACGGCGAAGCCGCAGATTTCGTTCGTTGAGAAAGCTATATTTACGCAATTACAGAACGAGAACGGAGGACGATCTCCTTTGCGAATAATGGTAGAGCACGACGCGGCGGCTGCAGTACGGCTTCTCGAGCAGAGCGCCCGCGACCCGCCTTTCGTGGGCCCCCTCGGCAAACAAAACAAATTGCGAGTAGCACGTGCCTTGCTAACTTTTGCAAAAGATTTACCAGTAAGTTATTTTTTTTAAAATATTAAAACACTAGCTGTTGGTCGCGACTTCGTCCGCATACAATATGATTCCTGTTTTTATCTCATGGGAGCATTTAATCGGGATAAAAAGTATCCTATCACCTAAGTCAGCCCATGCCCTGCCTGTTACACCACATTTAATCTGTGAATATGAAATAAAATAGTCACTAAGTCCGTAATCCACGCGAGCGAAGCCGCGGGTATCAGCTAGTTTATAATATTAGTGTGATTACTTTGCAAGCATAAAGAATTATAGAGTATGTCCCCAATGTAAAATCAAATCAATCAAAGGAGATAGTTCACTTTTGTATGGAGCTCCGGCCATAATATGTACATAATAGGGAAGGTGGGAAATAAGCCACTGCATGGAATAAAGTAACATTTTTATCCTACTTTTAAGTATCCACTGGGTAAAAACAAAATTAAAAAATATTTGACGTTTGTCGTACGAGTTATGACAGCCATGATGACAGATGCGTTTCATTCAATGTCAATACATCAGAATCAGAACTTAAGTGTTATGAATGCGAGGACCACCCTGAGGACACAGTGGAACACGCTGTAGCGGAATGCCCGGCGCGTGGGCTGAGCACCGCCTTGCCCTCAGGGAAGTGATCGGCGATGGCGACCTCTCGCGTCCGGGCCTAATGCAGGTCATTACGCGGAACGAGGGAGACTGGGATGCCGTCTCCTCCATTTGCGAAGCAGTTATGCTAGCTTAGGAGGAGGCGGGACGCGTTTTACGCTAGTTTTACGACCGAAACCGAAACCGAAAACGAATTTCGGCAACGGTGTCTATTTCGGCCGAAACCGCAACTTCCTTACGAAGCCCATATTTTGAGAGAAAAATAAAGAAAACGTTATTACAATCAGTCAGTCTTTATTGTTTTCTTTTTAAATCACATAGATTCGCAACTTGTCGCATGTGCGACTGCCGGGCAAGGGGTCTCGGGTTCGATTCCCGGGTCAGGCAAAATATTACTGGGTTTTTAAAAATTCTCTGTAGTAGCACAGAACCTGGAATTGTGCTACCCTTTCGGGGATAAAAGGCGTGATGATGTTATGTTATTTCTCTTTAAATCACATAGTTACTAATATCACAATCACAGTAGTTAATATTTAAGTAATAAAATAAATAAAAATAAATCACTTTTATCTTTAGAAAAAATAAACTTAAACTTCTTTCTTATAAACTCAGTTTGACACTTTTCATGACACTTTAGTCAAAAAAAAAATAAAGACTAAACGACTATATTATTACCTACTATAAATTATGTATAAACTATGATCCTAATCACAAGAATGCAGAACAAGAGGCGACGATTAGTGAAGTAACCACATACATACTGATAAATAAGAAATAAAGATTACAGATACATATACCAACATGAAATGATTGGTAAAATAATTAATAACTTCAATTAATCTGCAATAGTTAACTAATTCACTCATTCAACGCGCCGAACTCCCGAATGCACATTCGGTTTCGGTCGTAGTTTCGGTAAGTTTGTAGCCGAAAACGAAACTAAACCGAAACTCGTGTTTTTACCGAAACTGAACCGAAAACGAAACCGAACATTCGGTCGGACACTATTGGTATGATGTATTAAGGCTGCCCTAGCCGGTAATTCTTCCATACTAACTTAACTTGCCGATTACTCCACTGTTGGATGGTATACGTTCAAAATAAAAAATGATCTACATTTATCTCATTATTATCTAGCTCTGTATGG